AGAGAAGAAGAAGAAAAGGATGATGAGAAGAAGAAAAAAAGGAAGAAAAGAAGAAGAATGAAAAAAGAAGAGAAGAAGAAAAAGAAAGGATGAATGAAAAGAAGAAGAAGAAAAAGGACAATGATGAGAAGAAAAAGAAAAGGTGATGAGAAGAAGAAGAAAAAAAGGATTAATTAAGAGAAGAAGAAAGAAGAAGGATGAAGAAGAAGAAGAAAAAAAGGATGAAGAGAAGAAGAAAGAAGAAAATGATGAAAAAGAAAAAGAAAGGAATGAGAGAAGAAAGAAGAAAAGATGAAGAGCAGAAGAAGAAGAAAAGGATGAAGATGAAGAAGAATAAAGAAAAGGATGAAAGAAGAAGAAGAAAAGAGAAGAAGAAGAAAAGGGGAATGATGAAAAAAGGAAGAAAAAAGGATGAAGAAGAAAAGGATGAAGAGAAAGAAGAAAAAGGATGAAAGAAAAAGAAAAGAATATGAAGAGAAGGGCAAGAAAAGGAATGAAGAGAAGAAGAAAGAAAAGAAATGATGAGAAGAAAAGAAAAAGGATGACAGAGAAGAAAGAAGAAAAGGACAAATGAAGAGAAGAAGAAGAAAAAAAGAATGAGAAGAAGAAGAAAAGGATGAAGAGAAGAAGAAAAAGAATTGATGAAATGAAAGAAAAAAAGATGAAGAGAAGGAAAAAGAAAAGGAAGAAGAAAAGAAGAAGGAATGAATGAAAGAAAAAAAAAGAAGAAAAGGATGATGAGAAGGAAGAAGAAAAGGATGAAGAGAAGAAGAAGAAGAAAAGGATGAATGAAAAAAGAAAGAAAAGAAAAGATTAAGAATAGAGAAAGACAGAAAAGGATGATGAAAAAGAAAAAATGATGAGAAGAAGAAAAAAGAATACAGAGAAGACAGAAAAAAAGGAGAATGAAAAAAAAAGGAAAATGAGAAGAAGAAAAGGAAGAAGAGAAGAAGAAATGATGAATGAAAAAAGAAAGAAAAATTTATGAAGAGAAGAAGAAGAAGAAAAGAAATGAAAGAAGAAAAGGAAAAGAAGAAGAAAAAGGATGAATGAAAAGAAGAAAGAAAATTGATGAGAAGAAGAAGAAAAGGATGATGAAAAAAAAAGAAAAAAAAAGGATGAAGAAGAAGAAGAAAAAAGGATGAAGAAAAGAAAGAAAGGAAAAGAAGAAGAAAAGGATGAGAAAGAAGAAAGAAAGGAAAAAGAAAGAAGAAAGAAAAAAGGAAAAGAATACAGAGAAGAAGAAGAAAAAGGATGAAAAGAAAGAAAAGAAAAAATGATAAGAAGAAGAAAAGGATGAAGAGATGAAAGAAGAAAGGATGAATGAAAGAAGAAAGAAAAGGATGAAAAAGAAGAAGAAGAAAAGGATGATGATTGAAATAAAGAAATGGAAAGAAAAGGAAAGAATGATGAGAGAAGAAGAAAGAAGAAAAGATGAATGAAAAAGAAGAAAGAAAAGGATGAAGAGAAGAAGAAGAAAAGGAAGAAGAAGAAAAGAAGAAAAATGAAGAGAAGAAAGAAAAAGAAGAAAAGGATGAAGAGAAGAGAAGAAAGATGAAGATGAAAAAAAAAAGAAAATTTATGAAGAGAAGAAGAAGAAGAAAAGATGAATGAAAAAAAAAAAAGAAAAAAATTATAAGGTTAAAGAAGAAGAAAATAATGAAAGAAGAAAGAAGAATGAAAGAAAGAAATTTTTAAGAAGAAATTAATGAAGAGAAGAAGAAGAAAAGGATGAAAGAAATAAAGAAAGAAAAAATGATAAGGTTAAGAAAATGGAGAGAAGAATGAAAGAAGAAAAGGATGAATGAAAAAAAGAAAGATTGAAAAGGAAATTAAGACAGAAAAAAATGAAAGAAGAAATGGATGAAATGAAAAAAAAGAAAGAAAAATAAGGATAATATACAGAGAAGAAGAAAAGAAGAAAGGATGAAAAAAAAAAAGAAAAGGATGAGGTTGAGAAGAAAGAAGAAAGGATGAATGAAATAAAAGAAAGAAAATGAAGTTTTTTAAAAGAAGAATGAAAGAAGAAGAAAAAAAGAAGGATGATTAATACAGAGAAGAAGAAAAAGAAAAGATGAAAAAAAAAAAGAAAAAAAGAATAATAAGGATGAGAAGAAATGAATGAAAGAAGAAAAGGATGAATGAAAAAAGAAAGAAAAAGGATAAAGTTAAGAAATACAGAGAAGAATGAAAAAAGGATGAAAAGAAAAAAAAAGAAAATTTATAAAGTTAATTAATACAGAGAGGAATGAGATGAAGAAAGAAAAGAAAGAAAAAAGGGATTAATACAGAGAAAAATGAAAGAAGAAAGGATGAAAGAAAGAGAAAAATGAAAGAATGAAAAGGAATGAAAGAAGAAAGGATAAAATGAAAGAAAGAGAAAAGGATGAAGAGAAGAATGAAAAAGAAAGAAAGAAAGATGAAATAAAGAAAGAAAATTTAAAGGTTAATGAAGAGAAGAATGAAAGAAGAAAATGAAATGAAAAAAAGAAAGAAAAAGAAAAAGAAAAGAGAAGAAGAAAAGAAAGAAAGAATGAATGAAAGGAAGAAAAAAAGAAAAGGATGATGAGAAGAAGAAGAATGAAAGAAAGAAAATTTAAAGGATAGAAAGAATGAAAATGAATGAAAAGAAAAGAAAATATTTAGATTAATACAGAAGAACAAAAAAGAAAGAAGAGAAGAAAAGAAGAAAAGGATGAAAAGAGAAAAAAAGGATGAATGAGAAGAAAAAAATTTAAAGGGATGACAGAGAAGAAGAAGAAGAAAAGGAAAGAAAGAAAGAAAAAGAAAAGGTTAAAGAGAAGAAGAAGAAAAGGATGAAAAGAAAGAAGAAAAGGATGAGAGAAGAATGAAAAAAAGGATGAAGAAAAAGAAGAAGTTAATTAATGACAGAGAAGAAGAAAAAAGAAAGGATAAATGAAAAAAGAAAGAAAAATTTAAAGGTTAATTAATACAGAAGAATGAGAAGAAAAGATGAAAAGAAAGAGAAGAATGAAAAGAAGAAAGGATGAATGAAAGAAAAAAAGAAAATTTTAAGAGAAGAAGAAGAAAGATGAAGAAAAAAAAGAAGAGGAGAAAATGAAATAAAGAAAGAAGGAAAAGGTTAATTAAGAGAGAAGAATGAAAAAAAAGGATGAAAGAAAGAAAGAAGAAGAAAAGGAGAAAGGAATGAAGAAGAAGAAAAGAATGAAAGAAGAAAGAAGAAGAAAAAAAATGAAAGAAAAATTTTAAGGTTAATTAATTGAGAAGAAGAAGAATGAAGAAGAAAAAGGAGAATGAAAGAAGAAAGAAAAGAAAAGAAAATGAGAATTAAACAGAGAAGAAATGAAAGAAGAATGAGAATGAAAAAAGAAAGAAAATTTAAGGTTAAGAAGAAAAGAATGAAAAGAAAGAAGAAAGGATGAAAAAAGAAAGAAAAATTTATAAGGTTAATGACAGAGAAGAAGAGAAGAATGAAATAAAAAAGAAAATTTATAAGGTTAATTAATACAGAAAGAATGAAAGAAATGAAAAAAAAGAAAGAAAATTTATAAGGTTAAGAGAAGAAGAAGAAAAGGATGAATGAAAAAAGAAGAAAAAGAAGAAAGAAAAGATGAAAAAAAAGAAAATTTATAAGTTTAATTAATACAGAGAAGAATGAAAGAAGAAAAGGATGAATGAAGAAAAAGAAAGAAAATTTATAAGAAGAAGAATTAAAGAAAGATGAAATGAAGAAGAAAAAAAGGATGAAAAGAAAGAAAGAAAATTTATAAGGTTAATTAATGAAAAGAAGAATGAATGAAAGATGAAGAAGAAATGAAAGAAAAGAAAAGAAAATTTATAAGGTTAATTAAACAGAGAAGAAGAAGAATGAAAAAGAAAGGATGAAATGAAATAAAAAAAGAAAATTTGAAAGAAAATAAGGTTAATTAATAGAGAAGAAGAAGGAAAAAAGAAAAGGATGAATGAAAAAAAGAAAGAAAATTTATAAGGAAGAATACAGAGAAGAATGAAGAAGAAAAGGATGAAGAAGAAAGAAAGGATGAAGAGAAGAAGAAGATTAATACAGAGAAGAAGAGAAAGAAGAAAGGATGAATGAAAGAAAGAAAGAAAATTTATAAGGTTAATTAATACAGAGAAGAATGAAAAAGAAAGTGATGAAAAAAAAGAAAAAAAAGTTAATTAAGACAGAGAAGAAGAAGAAAAAGATGAATGAAAGAATGAAGAGAAGAATGAAGAAAAAGAAAAGGATGAAGAGAAGAAAGAAGAAAAGGATGAAGAGACGAAGAAAGAAAAAAGAAATTTATAAGTTAATTAATACAGAGAAGAAATGAAGAAAGGATGAAGAAGAAGAAAGAAGGATGAAGAGAAGAAGAAGAAAAGAGAAGAAGAGAAGAAGAAAGGATGAAAAAAAAAGAAAGAAAATTTATAAGGTTAATTAAGAAAAGAGAGAAGAATGAAAGAAGAATGAATGAAATAGAAAGAAAGAAAATTATAAGAAGAATAATTAATAAAGAGAAGAATGAAAAAGAAATGAATGAAAAGAAAGAAAGAAATTAAAGGTATAATTATTATACAGAGAAGAATGAAAGAAGAAAGGATGAATGAAAGAAAGAAAGAAAATTTATAAGGTTAATTGAAGAGAAGAATGAAAGAAGAAAGGATGAATGAAAGAAAGAAAATTTATAAGTTAATTAATACAGAGAATGAAATGAAAAGAAGAATGAAAGAAGAAAAGAAAATTATAAATGTTGAATAACACAGAGAAGAATGAAAGAAGAAAGGATGAATGAAAAAAAGAAAGAAAATTTAAGAAAGAAAAGGAATTAATACAGAGAAGAATGAAAAAGAAAGGATGAATTTGAATGGGAGAAGAAAGAAAAAGGATTATAAGGTTAATTAACAAAGAGAAGAATGAAAGAAGAAGAGAGATGAAAGAAAGAAAGAAAATTTATAAGGTTAAGGAATACAGAGAAGAAGAAAGAAGAAAGGATGAATGAAAAAAGAAAAAAAAATTAAGGTTAATTAATAACAGAGAAGAATGAAAGAAAGAAAAGAAAGAAAAGAAAAGCTAATTAAAAGAAAAAAAATTAAAAAAAGAAAGAAAATTAATAAGAAGAAAGAATGGATGAAAAGAAAAGAAAATTAAAGGATGAATACAGAGAAGAAGAAAGAAGAAAATGAATGAAAGAAAGAAAATAAGGTTAATTAATACAGAGAAGAAGAAAGAAGAAAGGAATGAAAAAAAAAAGAAGTTTTAAAAGAAGATGAAAGAAGAATGAAAAAAAGAAAGAAAATTTATAAGGTTAATTAATAAGGAGAAGAATGAAAGAAGAAAAGGATGAATGAAAGAAAAGAAAGATAAGGATGATAAAGAAGAAAAGAGAAAGAAAGAAAAAATTTATAAGGTTAATTAATACAGAGAAGAAATGAAAGAAGATGAAAGAAAAGATACAGAGAAGAATGAAAGGAGAAAGGAAAGAAAGAAAAAAATTTATAAGAAGAATTAAGAAAGAAGAATGAAAAAGAAAGATGAAGAAAAAAAATTATAAGGTTAATTAATACAGAGAAGAATGAAAGAAGAAAGGATGAATGAAAAAAAGAAAGAAAATTATAAGGTTAATTAATGAGAAAGAGAAGAAAGAAGAAAAGGATGAAGAAAAGAAAATTTATAAGGTTAATTTAATACAGAGAAAATGAAAATAAGAAAGATGAATGAAAGAAAGAAAGAAAATTTATAAGGTTAATTAATAAAGAAAATGAAAGAAAGAATGAAGAAAGAAAGAAAGAAAATTTTATGTTAATTAATGCAGAGAAGAATGAAGGGGAGAAGAAAAAGATGAAAGAAGGTTAATTAAACAGAGAAGAATGAAAAAAAGGATGAAAAATGAATACAGAAAATTATAATGTTAATTAATACAGAGAAGAATGAAAGAAGAAGAATGAAATGAAAAAAGAAAGAAAAATTTATAAGGTTAATTAATACAGAGAAGAATGAAAGAAGAAAGGATGAATGAAAGAAAGAAAGAAAATTTATAAGGTTAATTAATACAGAGAAGAATGAAAGAAGAAAGGAGGAAAGAAAAAGAAAGTTAATTAATACAGAGAAGAATGAAAAGAAAGGATGAAATGAAATAAAGAAAGAAAATTTATAAGGTTAATTAATACAGAGAAGAATGAAAGAAGAAAGGATGAACAAAAAAAAGAAAATTTTTAATACACTAATACAAGAAGAAGAAAAATGGATGAAGAAATAAAGAAGAAAAATTATAAGGTTAATTAATACAGAGAAGAATGAAAAGAAGAATGGAAAAGAAAGAAAGAAAATTTATAAGGTTAATTAATACAGAGAAGAATGAAAGAAGAAAGGATGAATGAAAAAAAGAAAAAATTTATAAGGTTAATTAATAAGAGAATAATGAAAGAAGAAAAGGATGAATGAAAAAAGAAAGAAAATTTATAAGGGTTAATTAAACAGAGAAGATGAAGAAAGATGAATGAAAGAAAGAAAGGATGAATTAAAAAGAAGAAAGAAAAGAAAAAATGTTAATAATACAGAGAAGAATGAAAAGAAAGGATGAATGAAATAAAGAAAAAATTTATAAGGTTAATTAATACAGAGAGGAATGAAAGAAGAAATGAAATGTAAAGAAAGAAAGAAGAAATACAGAGAAGAATGAAAGATGAATGAAAAAAGAAAGAAAAATTTATAAGGTTAATTAATACAGAGAGAAGAATGAAAGAAGAAAGGATGAATGAAAAGAAAGAAAGAAAATTTATAAAATTAATACAGAGAAGAATGATGAATGAAAGAAAGAAAGAAAATTTATAAGGTTAAGAACAGAGAAGAATGAAAGAAGAAAGAAATGAAAGAAAAGAAAAGAAAATGATAAGGTTAATTAATACAGAGAAGAAAAGAAGAAAGGATGAAGAAAAAAAGGATGAATGAAAAAAGAAAAAGAAAATGAATGAAAGGTAAATTAATACAGAGAAGAATGAAAGAAGAAAGGAAGAATGAAAAAAAAGAAAAAGAAGAAGAAAGGAGAGAAAATGAAAGAAAGAAAAAAATTAAAGGTTAAGAATGGAGAGAATGAAAGAAGAAAGGATGAAAAAAATTTATAAGGTTAATTAATACAGAGAAGAATGAAAGAAGAAAGGATGAATGAAAAAAAAAGAAAATTTATAAGGTTAATTAATATAGAGAAGAATGAAAGAAGAAAAGATGAATGAAAAAAGAAAGAAAATTTATGTTAATTAATACAGAGAAGAATGAAAAAGAAAGGATGAATAAAAAAAGAAAGAAAATTTATAAGGTTAATTTATAGAGAAGAATGAAAGAAGAAAGATGAAATGAAAAAAAGAAAAGAAGGTTAATTAAACAGAAGAAGAATGAAAAAGAAAGGATGAATGAAAGAAAGAAAAGAAATTTATAAGGTTAATTAATGAAGAGAAGAATGAAAGAAGAATGGATGATGAGAAAGAAAGAAAAAAGGATACAGAGAAGAAAAGAAGAAAGGATGAATGAAAAAAAGAAATTTATAAGGTTAATTAAACAGAGAAGAGAAGAATGAAAGAAGAAAGGATGAATGAAGAAAAGATGAAGAAAGAAAAAAGTTAATTAATACAGAGAAGAATGAGGAAAAGAAGAAAAGAAATGAAAAAAAGAAAGAAAATTTATAAGGTTAATTAATACAGAGAAGAATGAAAAAGAAAGGAAAGAAAAAAGAAAGAAAAAAAGGATGAAGAGAAGAAGAAAGAAAATTGAAAGAAAGAAAAATTTTAATTAATGAAAAGAATGAAAGGAGAAAGGAAGAATGAAAGAAGAAATATTAGCATTTAATAAGAGAAGAATGGAAGCGATGAATGAAAAAAAAGAATTTATAAGGTTAATTAATATAGAAGAACAGAGAAAGAATGAAAAAGAAAAGAAGAAAAGGATGAAAGAAGAAAAGAAAGAAAGAAAAAAATTTATAAAGTTAATTAATACAGAGAAGAATGAAAAGAAGAAAGGATGAATGAAAAAAGAAAGATAAGGTTAATTTAACAGAGAAAATGGAAAGAAGAAAGGATGAATGAAAAAAAGAAAGAAAATTTTAAGGTTAATTAATACAGAGAAGAAATGAAAAAAAAAAAAGGATGAATGAAATAAAGAAAGAAAATTTATAAGGTTAATTAATACAGAGAAGAATGAAAAGAAAGGATGAATGAAAAAAGAAAAGAAAATTTATAAGGTTAATTAATGAAACAGAGAAGAATGAAAGAAGAAAAGGATGAATGAAAAAAGAAAAGAAAGAAAATTTATAAGGTTAATTAATACAGAGAAGAATGAAAAAGAAAGGATGAAAGAAAGAAAGAAAGAAAATTTATAAGGTTAATTAATACAGAGAAGAATGAAAAGAAGAAAGGAGAAAAAAGAAAGAAAATTTATAAGATTAATTAATACAGAGAAGAATGAAAGAAGAAAGGATGAATGAAAGAAAAAAGAAAATTGAGGAGGTTAATATAGAGAAGAATGAAAAAGAAAGGATGAATGAAAAAAGAAAGATTTATAAGGTTAATTATCACAGAGAAGAAAGAAAGAAGAATGAAAGAAAGAAAGAAAAATTATAAGGTTAATTAATACAGAGAAGAATGAAAGAAGAAAGGATGAATGAAAGAAAGAAAGAAAATTTATAAGGTTAATTAATACAGAGAAGAATGAAAGAAGAAAGGATGAATGAAAAAAAGAAAGAAAATTTATAAGGTTAATTAATACAGAGAAGAATGAAAAAGAAAGGATGAATGAAAAAAGAAAGAAAATTTATAAGGTTAATTAATACAGAGAAGAATGAAAGAAGAAAGGATGAATGAAAAAAAGAAAGAAAATTTATAAGGTTAATTAATACAGAGAAGAATGAAAGAAGAAAGGATGAATGAAAAAAGAAAGAAAAGAAAAGGAATGAAAGAAGAAAGATGAAGAATAAAGAAAGAATGGATGAATTAATGAAAAAGAAAAAGAAAATTTAAGGTTAATTAATACAGAGAAGAAGAAAGAAGAAAGGAATGAAAGAAAGAAAGAAAATTTATAAGGTTAATTAATACAGAGAAGAATGAAAGAAGAAAGGATGAATGAAAGAAAGAAAGAAAATTTATAAGGTTAATTAAATAGAGAAGAAAAAGAAAAGGAAGAATGAAAAGAAAGAAAATTTAAAGGATACAGAGAAGAAGAAAGAAGAAAGATGAATGAAAGAAAGAAAGAAAAATTTATAAGGTTAATTAATACAGAGAAGAATGAAAGAAGAAAGGATGAATGAAAGAAAGAAAGAAAATTTAAAGGTTAATTAATACAGAAGAATGAAAGAAGAAAGGATGAAAAAAAAGAAAGAAAATTTATAAGGTTAATTAATACAGAGAAGAAAAAAAAGAAGAAAGGATGAAATGAAAGAAAGAAAGAAAATTTATAAGGTTAATTAATACAGAGAAGAATGAAAGAAGAAAGGATGAATGAAAAAAAGAAAGAAAAATTTATAAGGTTAATTAATACAGAGAAGAATGAAAGAAGAAAATGAATGAATGAAAAAAAAGAAAATTTATAAGGTTAATTAATACAGAGAAGAATGAAAGAAGAAAGGATGAATGAAAGAAAGAAAGAAAATTTATAAGGTTAATTAATACAGAGAAGAATGAAAGAAGAAAAAGGATGAATGAAAAGAAAGAAAAGAAAATTAAAAGGTTAAGAACAGAGAAGAATGAAAGAAGAAAAGGATGAATGAAAAAAGAAAGAAAAATTTATAAGGTTAATTAATACAGAAGAAGAAAAAAGAAAGGATGAATGAAAAAAGAAAGAAGTTAATTAACAGAAAGAATGAAAGAAAGAAAGGAGAAAAAAATTTTAAGGTTAATTAATACAGAGAAGAATGAAAGAAGAAAATGAATGAAATGAAAGAAAGAAAATTTATAAGGTTAATTAATACAGAGAAGAATGAAAGAAGAGAAGAATGAAAAAAGAAAGGACAGAGAAGAATGAAAGAGAAAGGATGAATGAAAAGAAAAAAAAATGAAGAGAGGTTAATTAAACAGAGATGAGAATGAAAGAAGAAAAGGATGAATGAAAGAAAGAAAGAAAATTTATAAGGTTAATTAATACAGAGAAGAATGAAAGAAGAAAGGATGAATGAAAAAAGAAAGAAAATTTATAAGGTTAATTAATACAGAGAAGAATGAAAGAAGAAAGGATGAATGAAAAAAAGAAAGAAATTAATTAATACAGAGAAGAATGAAAGAAGAAAAGGATGAATGAAAAAAAGAAAGAAAATTTTTAAGGTTAATTAATACAGAAGAATGAAAAAAGAAAGGAGAAATGTTGAAAGAAAAATTTATAAGGTTAATTAATACAGAGAAGAATGAAAGAAGAAAGGATGAATGAAAGAAAAAAGAAAATTTATAAGGTTAATTAATACAGAGAAGAATGAAAGAAGAAAGGATGAATGAAAAAAAAGAAAGAAAATTTTATAATATATATATTAATACAGAGAAGAATGAAAGAAGAAAGATGAATGAGAAAGAAAGAAAATTTAAAGGTTAATTAATACAGAGAAGAATGAAAGAAGAAAGGATGAATGAAAAAAGAAAGAAAATTTATAAGTTAATTAATACAGAGAAGAATGAAAGAAGAAAAGGATGAATGAAAGAAAGAAAGAAAATTTATAAGGTTAATTAATACAGAGAAGAAAAAGAAGAAAAAGAAAGATAAGGAACAGAGAAAAAGAAGAAAAGGAAAGGAAAAAATAAAATTTATAAGGTTAATTAATACAGAGAAGAATGAAAAGAAGAAAAGGATGAATGAAAGAAAGAAAGAAAATTTATAAGGTTAATTAATACAGAGAAGAATGAAAGAAGAAAGGATGAATGAAAGAAAGAAAGAAAATTTTAATTAATACAGAGAGGAATTAATGAAAAAAGAGAAGAATGAGAAGAAGAAAAAAAGGATGAAAAAGAAAGAAAATTTATAAGGTTAATTAATACAGAGAAGAATGAAAGAAGAAAGGAATGAAAAAAAGAAAGAAAAAGGTTAATTAATACAAGAAGAAGAAAAGAAAGATGAATTTTATAAGGTTAATTAATACAGTTTTTAAATGAAAGAAGAAAGGATGAATGAAAAGAAGAAAGAAAATTTATAAGGTTAATAATAATAGAGAAGAATGAAAGAAGAAAGGAGAATGAAAGAAGAAAATTTATAAAGTTAATTAGATATGAATGATATCGAATGAAAGAAAAGAAAAAAATTTAAAAAGTTAATTAATACAGAGAAGAATGAAAGAAGAAAAAAGGAATGAAAGAAAGAAAGAAAATTGATGTGGTTAATTAATACAGAGAAGAATGAAAGAAGAAAGGGATGAATGAAAGAAAGAAAGAAAATTTATAAGGTTAATTAATACAGAGAAGAAATGAAAAAAAAGGATGAATGAAAAAAAGAAAGAAAATTTATAAGAAGTTAATTAAGAACAGAGAAGAATGAAAGAAGAAAATAAATTAAAAAAAAAGAAAGAAAAATGATAAGGTTAATTAATACAGAGAAGAATGAAAGAAGAAAGGATGAATGAAAAAAGAAAGAAAATTTATAAGGTTAAAAACAGAGAAAATGAAAGAAAAAGGATGAATGAAAGAAAGAAAGAAAATTTTAAATTAATTACAGAGAAGAATGAAAGAAGAAAAGGATGAATGAAAGAAAGAAAATTTATAAGGTTAATTAATACAGAGAAGAATGAAAGAAGAAAAGGATGAATGAAAAAAGAAAGAAAAATTTAAAGGTTAATTAATACAGAGAAGAATGAAAAAAAAGGATGAATGAAAAAAAGAAAGAAAATTTATAAGGTTAATATAGAGAAAAAATGAAAGAAGAAAGGATGAATGAAAGAAAGAAAAAGGATGAAAAAAGAAAGATTTGAAAATTTATAAGGTTAATTAATACAGAGAAGAAGAAAGAGAAAAGAATGAAAAAGAAGAAGAAGAAAGGATGAATGAAAGAAAGAAAGAAAATTTATAAAGGTTAATTAATACAGAGAAGAATGAAAGAAGAAAAGATGAAAAAAAAGAAAGAAAGAAAATTTATAAGGTTAATTAATACAGAGAAGAATGAAAGAAGAAAGGAAAATGAAAGAAAGAAAATTTATAAGGTTAATTAATACAGAGAAGAATGAAAAAGAAAGGATGAATGAAAAAAGAAAGAAAATTTATAAGGTTAATTAATACAGAGAAGAATGAAAGAAGAAAAGGATGAATGAAAAAAAAGAAAGAAAATTTATAAGGAAAACAGAGAAAATGAAAAAAGAAAGAAAATAAAGAAAGAAAATTATAAGGTTAATTAATACAGAGAAGAATGAAAGAAGAAAGGATGAATGAAAAAAAGAAAGAAAATTTATAAGGTTAATTAATACAGAGAAGAATGAAAAAAGAAAGGATGAATGAAAGAAAGAAAGAAAATTTATAAGGTTAATTAATACAGAGAAGAATGAAAGAAAGAAAGAAAAAAGGTTAATTAATACAGAGAAGAATGAAAGAAATGAAAAAGAAAGAAAAATTTATAAAGTTAATTAATACAGAGAAAAAATGAAAGAAGAAAGGATGAATGAAAGAAAGAAAGAATGAAAGAAGAAAAAGGAATGAAAGAAAGAAATTTTAAGGAAAATACAGAGAAGAATTGAATGAAAAGAAAGAAAGAAAATTTATAAAGTTAATTAATACAGAGAAGAATGAAAGAAGAAAGGATGAATGAAAGAAAGTTAATTAAAAGAGAAAATTTATAAGAAAGAAAATTTATAAATTAATAGAGAGAAGAAATGAGAAGAAAAGAAAATGTTGGGAATGAAAAAAGGAAACAGAAGAATGAAAGAAGAAAATGAATTATAAAAAGAAGAATGAAATGAAGAAAGGATGAATGAAAGAAAGAAAGAAAATTTATAAGGTTAATTAATACAGAGAAAAGAATGAAAGAAGAAAGGATGAATGAAAAAAAGAAAGAAAATTTATAAGGTTAATTAATACAGAGAAGAATGAAAGAAGAAAATGAATGAAAGAAAAGAGAAGAATGAATGAAAGGATGAATGAAAGAAAAAAATTAAAGGTTAATTAATACAGAGAAGAATGAAAGAAGAAAGGATGAATGAAAATTTAAAGAAAAAAAGAAAGAAATACAGAGAAGAATTTAAAGGTTAACTTTAATACAGAGAAGAATGAAAAAGAAAAATGAAAAAATATTAATTAATACAGAGAAGAATGAAAGAAGAAAGGATGAATGAAAAAAAAAAAAAGAAAATTTATAAGGTTAATTAATACAGAGAAAAAAATGAAAGAAGAAAAGGATGAAAATGAAAGAAAGAAAAGAAAAAGGATGAATGAAAGAAGAAAGGATGAAGAAAAAAGAAAGAAAATTTATAAGGTTACTTAATACAGAGAAGAATGAAAGAAAAAAGGATGAATGAAAGAAAGAAAGAAAATTTATAAGGTTAATTAATACAGAGAAGAATGAAAGAAGAAAGGATAAATGAAAGAAAGAAAAAAATTTATAAGGTTAATTAATACAGAGAAGAATGAAAGAAGAAAGGATGAATGAAAGAAAGAAAGAAAATTTATAAGGTTAATTAATACAGAGAAGAATGAAAGAAGAAAGGATGAATGAAAGAAAGAAAGAAAATTTATAAGGTTAATTAATACAGAGAAGAATGAAAGAAGAAAGGATGAATGAAAGAAAGAAAATTTATAAGGTTAATTAATACAGAGAATAATGAAAGAAGAAAGGATGAATGAAAGAAAGAAAGAAAATTTATAAGGTTAATTAATATAGAGAAGAATGAAAGAAGAAAGGATGAATGAAAAAAAGAAAGAAAATTTATAAGGTTAATTAATACAGAGAAGAATGAAAGAAGAAAGAGGAATGAAAAAAAGAAAGAAAAATAAGGTTAATTAAACAGAGAAGAATGAAAGAAGAAAGGATGAATGAAAGAAAAGAAAGAAAATTTATAAGGTTAATTAATACAGAGAAGAATGAAAGAAGAAAGGATGAATGAAAAGAAAGAAAGAAAATTTATAAGGTTAATATGAGAAAACAGAAAAAGATTAATTAATGAAGAGAAGAAAAGGATGAAATGAAAAAGAAAGAAAATTTATAAGGTTAATTAATACAGAGAAGAATGAAAGAAGAAAGGATGAAATGAAAGAAAGAAAGAAAAAAGGTTAATTAATATGAATGAAAAAAGAAAGAAAAAATTTATAAGGTTAATTAATACAGAGAAGAATGAAAAAGAAAGGATGAATGAAAAAAGAAAGAAAATTTATAAGGTTAATTAATACAGAGAAGAAATGAAAGAAAAAATGAAATGAAAGAAAGGATACAGAGAAGAATGAAAGAAGAAAGGATGAATGAAAGAAAGAAAAAAATTTATAAAGTTAATTAATACAAAAAGAAAGAAAATTTATAAGGTTAAATACAGAGAAGAAATGAAAGAAGAAAGGATGAATGAAAGAAAGAAAAGAAAATTTATAAGGTTAATTAATACAGAGAAGAATGAAAGAAGAATGAATGAAAGAAAGAAAGAAAATTTAAAGGTTAATTAATACAGAGAAGAATGAAAGAAGAAAGGATGAAGAAAAGAAAGAAAGAAAATTTATAAGGTTAATTAATACAGAGAAGAATGAAAGAAGAAAGGATGAATGAAAGAAAGAAAGAAAATTTATAAGGTTAATTAATACAGAGAAGAATGAAAGAAGAAAGATGAATGAAAAAAGAAAGAAAAATTTATAAGAATAAGAGAAATGAAAGAAGAAAGGATGAAAAAGAAAGAAAATTTATAAGGTTAATTAATACAGAGAAGAATGAAAAAAAGGATGAATGAAAGAAAGAAAGGATGAATGAAGAGAAGAAGAAAGAAAAAATGAATGAAAAAAAGAAAGAAAATTTATAAGGTTAATTAATACAGAGAAGAATGAAAGAGAAAAGAATGAAAGAAAAAAATTTAAAGGATGAATGAAAGGAAAGAAAGAAAGAAAATTTATAAGGTTAATTAATAGAGAAGAATGAAAGAAGAAAGGATGAATGAAAGAAAGAAAATTTTATAAGGTTAATTAATACAGAGAAGAATGAAAAGAAGAAAGGATGAATGAAAGAAAGAAAGAAAATTTATAAGGTTAATTAATACAGAGAAGAATGAATGAAAGAAAAAAAATTTATAAGGTTAATTAATACAAAGAAGAATGAAAGAAAAAGGATGAATGAAAAAAATTTTTATAAGGTTAATTAATACAGAGAAGAATGAAAGAAGAAAGGATGAATGAAAGAAAGAAAGAAAATTTATAAGGTTAATTAATACAGAGAAGAATGAAAGAAAGAAAGAAAATTTATAAGGTTAATTAATACAGAGAAGAATGAAAGAAGAAAGGATGAATGAAAGAAAGAAAATTTATAAGGTTAATTAATACAGAGAAGAATGAAAGAAGAAAGGATGAATGAAAGAAAGAAAGAAAATTTATAAGGTTAATTAATACAGAGAAGAATGAAAGAAGAAAGGATGAATGAAAGAAAGAAAATTTATAAGGTTAATTAATACAGAGAAATGAAAAAGAAAGGAATGAAAGAAAGAAAGAAAATTTATAAGGTTAATTAATACAGAGAAGAATGAAAAGAGAAAGGATGAATGAAAGAAAGAAAGAAAATTTATAAGGTTAATTAATACAGAGAAGAATGAAAGAAGAAAGGATGAATGAAAAAAAGAAAGAAAATTTATAAGGTTAATTAATACAGATAAGAATGAAAGAATAAAAGAAAGGATGAAAGAAAAAAGAAAGAAATTTATAAGGTTAATTTACAGAGAAGAATGAACAGAAGAAAGGATGAATGAAAAAAGAAAGAAAATTTATAAGGTTAATTAATACAGAGAAGAATGAAAGGATGAATGAAAAAAAAAAAGAAAATTTATAAGGTTAATTAATATAGAGAAGAATGAAAGAAGAAAGGATGAATGAAAAAAAGAAAGAAAATTATAAGGTTAATTAATACAGAGAAGAATGAAAGAAGAAAGGATGAATGAAAAGAAAGAAAGAAAATTTATAAGGTTAATTAATACAGAGAAGAATGAAGAAGAAAAAGATGAATGAAAGAAAGAAAGAAAATTTATAAGTTAATTAATGAAAGAAGAAAGGATGAATGAAAGAAAGAAAGAAAATTTATAAGGTTAATTAATACAGAGAAGAATGAAAGAAGAAAGGATGAATGAAAGAAAGAAAGAAAATTTATAAGGTTAATTAATACAGAGAAGAATGAATGAAAGAAAGAAAATTTATAAGGTTAATTAATACAGAGAAGAATGAAAGAAGAAAGGATGAATGAAAGAAAGAAAGAAAATTTATAAGGTTAATTAATACAGAGAAGAATGAAAGAAGAATGAAAGAAAGAAAGAAAATTTATAAGGTTAATTATGAATAAAAGAAGAAAGGATGAATGAAAAAAGAAAAGAAAATTTATAAGGTTAATTAATACAGAGAAGAATGAAAAAAGAAATGAACAAAAGAAGAATGAGAAGAAGAAAGAAGAAAGATGAATGAAAAAAGAAAGAAAATTTATAAGGTTAATTAATACAGAGAAGAATGAAAAGAAGAAAAGGATGAATGAAAAAGAAAGAAAATTTATAAGTTAATTAATAAGAGAAGAATGAAAGGATGAATGAAAGAAAGAAAGAAAAATTTATAAGGTTAATTAATACAGAGAAGAAAAAAGAAAGGATGAATGAAAGAAAGAAAGAAAATTATGTTAATTAATACAGAGAAGAATGAAAGAAGAAAGGATGAATGAAAGAAAGAAAGAAAATTTATAAGATTAATTAATACAGAGAAGAATGAAAGAAGAAAGGATGAATGAAATAAAGAAAGAAAATTTATAAGGTTAATTAATAAAGAGGATGAAGAAAGAAGAATGAAAGAAGAAAGGATGAATGAAATGAAAGAAAGAAAATTTATAAGGTTAATTAATACAGAGAAGAATGAAAAAGAAAGGATGAATGAAAGAAAGAAAAGAAATTTATAAGGTTAATTAATACAGAGAAGAATGAAAGAAGAAAGGATGAATGAAAAAAAGAAAGAAAATTTATAAGGTTAATTAATACAGAGAAGAATGAAAGAAGAAAGGATGAATGAAAGAAAGAAAGAAAATTTATAATAATTATTACAGAAGAAGAAGAAAAGGATGAAAGAAAGAAAAAAAAGGTTAATTAATACAGAGAAGAATGAAAGAAGAAAGGATGAATGAAAAAAGAAAGAAAATTTATAAGGTTAATTAATACAGAGAAAATAAATGAAGAAAGAAAAAAGAAAATTTATAAGGTTAATTAATACAGAGAAGAATGAAAAAAGAAAGGATGAAGAAAGAAAGAAAGAAAATTATAAGGTTAATTAATACAGAGAAGAATGAAAGAAGAAAAGATGAATGAAAAAAGAAAGAAAGGATACAGAGAAGAATGAAAGAAGAAAGGATGAATGAAAGAAAGAAAGAAAATTTATAAGGTTAATTAATACAGAGAAGAATGAAAGAAGAAAGGATGAATGAAAAAAAGAAAGAAAATTTATAAGGTTAATTAATACAGAGAAGAATGAAAGAAGAAAAGATGAATGAAAAAAAGAAAGAAAATTTATAAGGTTAATTAATACAGAGAAGAATGAAAGAAGAAAGGATGAATGAAAGAAAGAAAGAAAAATTTATAAGGTTAATTAATACAGAGAAGAATGAAAGAAGAAAGGATGAATGAAAGAAGAAAAGGATGAATGAATGAAAGAAAGAAAAAATTTATAAGGTTAATTAATACAGAGAAGAATGAAAGAAGAAAGGATGAATGAAAGAAAATTTATAAGGTTAATTAATACAGAGAAAAGAAGAATTTATGAATGAAAGAAAAAGGTTAATACAGAGAAGAATGAAAAGAAGAAAGGATGAATGAAAGAAAGAAAGAAAATTTATAAGGTTAATTAATACAGAGAAGAATGAAAAAGAAAGGATGAATGAAAGAAAGAAAGAAAAATTTATAAGGTTAATTAATATGAAAGAAAAAAAGGAGAATGAAATGAAAAAAGAAAAAGTTAATTAATAAAGAAGAATGAAAAAGAAAAGAAAAGAAATTTATAAGGTTAATTAATACAGAGAAGAATGAAAGAAGAAAGGATGAATGAAAGAAAGAAAGAAAATTATAAGGTTAATTAATACAGAGAAGAATGAAAGAAGAAAAGGATGAATGAAAAAAGAAAGAAAAATTTATAAGGTTAATTAATACAGAGAAGAATGAAAGAAGAAAGGATGAATGAAAAAAGAAAGAAAATTTATAAGGTTAATTAATACAGAGAAGAAATGAAAGAAGAAAGAATGAAAAAAAGAAAGAAAGGATGAATGAAAGAAGAAAGGAAAGAAAGAAAGAAAGAAAATTTATAAGGTTAATTAATACAGAGAAGAATGAAAAAGAAAGAAAAATGAATGAAAAGAAATAAAGAAAATTTTAATTAATAGAAGAGAAATTGAATGAAAGAAGAAAGAAGAATGAAGAAAGGAGAAAGAAAGAAAGAAAATTTATAAGGTTAATTAATACAGAGAAGAATGAAAGAAGAAAGGATGAATGAAAAAAAGAAAGAAAATTTATAAAATTTACAGAGAAGAAAAAAGAAGAAAAGAAAAGAAAAAAAAATTTATAATAATTAATACAGAGAAGAATGAAAGAAGAAAGGATGAATGAAAAAGAAAAAATTATAAGGATACAGAGAAGAATGAAAGAAGAAAGGAATGAAAAAAAGAAAGAAAATTTATAAGGTTAATTAATACAGAGAAGAATGAAAAAGAAGAAAAGAAAATTTAAATGTTAAAAAAGAAAGAAAAGAAAATGAAAAAGAAAGAAAATTATAAGGTTAATTAATACAGAGAAGAAATGAAAAAAGAAAGGATGAATGAATGAAAAAAGAAAAAATTTATAAGGTTAATTAATACAGAGAAGAATGAAAGAAGAAAGGATGAATGAAAAAAGAAAGAAAATTTATAAGGTTAATTAATACAGAGAAGAAGAAAAAGAAAGGATGAAGAAAGAAAGAAAAATTTATAAATTTAATTAATACAGAGAAGAATGAAAAAGAAAAGGATGAATGAAAGAAAAAAGAAAATTTATAAGGTTAATTAATACAGAGAAGAATGAAAGAAGAAAGGATGAAAAAAAAAAGAAAGAAAATTTATAAGGTTAATTAATACAGAGAAGAGAATGAAAGAAGAAAGGATGAATGAAAGAAAGAAAGAAAATTTATAAGGTTAATTAATACAGAGAAGAATGAAAGAAGAAAAGAATGAAGAAAAGAAAATTTAAAGGTTAATTAATACAGAGAAGAATGAAAGGATGAATGAAAAAAGAAAGAAAATTTATAAGGTTAATTAATACAGAGAAGAAGAAGAATGGATGAATGAAGAAAGAAAGATGTTAAACAGAGAAAATGAAAGAAGAAAAATTTTTATAAGGTTAATTAATACAGAGAAGAATGAAAGAAGAAAGGATGAATGAAAGGTTAATTAATAAAGAAAAGAAAAAAATTTGAAAAAGAAGGAAAAATTTTAATTAATTACAGAGAAGAATGAAAAGAAGAAAATGAAGAAAAAAGAAAGAAAAAAGGATGAATGAAAAAGAATGGATGAATGAAAGAAAGAAAATTTATAATGTTAATTAATACAGAGAAGAATGAAAGAAGAAAAGAATGAAAGAAAGATAAGGTTAATTAATGAATGAAAAAGAAAGGAAATGAAAGAAAAAAATTTATAAGGTTAATTAATACAGAGAAGAATGAAAGAAGAAAGGATGAATGAAAGAAAGAAAGAAAAATTTATAAGGTTAATTAATACAGAAGAAAGGAATGAATGAAAGAAAGAAAAAGAAAAGAAGAATGAATGAAAGAAAGAAAGAAAAAATTTATAAGGAAGAAAAAAATTGAAAAAAGAACAGAGAAGAATGAAAATGAAAGAAGAAAAAAAATTTAAAATTATAAGGTTAATTAATACAGAGAAGAATGAAAAAAGAAAGGATGAATGAAATAAAGAAAGAAAAATTTATAAGGTTAATTAATACAGAGAAGAATGAAAGAAAAAGGATGAATGAAAAAAAGAAAGAAAATTTATAAGGTTAATTAGAAGAAAGAAAGAAGAAAGGATGAATGAAAGAAAAAAAAAATTTATAAGGTTAATTAATACAGAAGAATGAAAAAGAAAGGATGAATGAAAAGAAAAAAAGAAAAAAATTTATAAGGTTAATTAATACAGAGAAGAATGAAAGAAGAAAGGATGAATGAAAGAAAGAAAGAAAATTTATAAGGTTAATTAATACAGAGAAGAATGAAAGAAGAAAGGATGAATGAAAGAAAGAAAGAAAATTTATAAGGTTAATTAATACAGAGAAGAATGAAAGAAGAAAGGATGAATGAAAAAAAGAAAGAAAATTTATAAGGTTAATTAATACAGAGAAGAATGAAAGAAGAAAGGATGAATGAAAGAAAGAAAGAAAATTTATAAGGTTAATTAATACAGAGAAGAATGAAAGAAGAAAGGATGAATGAAAGAAAGAAAGAAAATTTATAAGGTTAATTAATACAGAGAAGAATGAAAGAAAGAAAGAAAATTTATAAGGTTAATTAATACAGAGAAGAATGAAAGAAGAAAGGATAAATGAAAAAAGAAAAAAAATTTATAAGGTTAATTAATACAGAGAAGAATGAAAGAAGAAAGGATGAATGAAAGAAAGAAAGAAAATTTATAAGTTAATTAAAGAGAAGAATGAAAGAAGAAAGGAATGAAAAAAAGAAAGAAAATTTATAAGGTTAATTAATACAGAGAAGAATGAAAGAAGAAATGGATGAAAAGAAAGAAAAAAAATTTATAAGGTTAATTAATACAAAGAAGAATGAAAAAAGAAAGGATGAATGAAAGAAGAAAGAAAAATTATAAGGCTAATTAATACAGAGAAGAATGAAAGAAGAAAGGATGAATGAAAAAAAGAAAGAAAATTTATAAGGTTACTTAATACAGAGAAGAATGAAAGAAAAGAAAGGATGAATGAAAAGAAAGAAAAAAATTTATAAGGTTAATTAATACAGAGAAGAATGAAAAGAAGAAAGGATGAATGAAAAAAGAAAGAAAATTTATAAGGTTAATTAATACAGAGAAGAATGAAAGAAGAAAAAGAAAAAATGAAAATTTATAATGTTAATTAATACAAGAAGAATGAAAAAGAAAATGAAATAAAGAAAGAAAAAATAAGGTTAATTAATACAGAGAAGAATGAAAGAAGAAAGGATGAATGAAAGAAAGAAAGAAAAGAAAAGTTAATTAATACAGAGAAAATGAAAGAAGAAAGGATGAATGAAAAAAAGAAAGAAAATTTATAAGGTTAATTAATACAGAGAAGAATGAAAGAAGAAAGGATGAATGAAAGAAAGAAAGAAAAATTTATAAGGTTAATTAATACAGAGAAATGAAATGACTAAGAAAGGATGAAAAGAAAGAAAGAAAAAAATTTATAAGGTTAATTAATACAGAGAAGAATGAAAGAAAAAGAAAGGATGAATGAAAAAAAAAAAAAATTTATAAGGTTAATTAATACAGAGAAGAATGAAAAAGAAAAGAATGAAAAAGAAAGGATACAGAGAAGAATGAAAGAAAAAAATGAATGAAAGAAAAAGAAAATTTATAAGGTTAATTAATACAGAAGAAGAATGAAAAAAAAAAAAAAAGGTTAATTAATGAATGAAAAAAGAAAGAAAATTTATAAGGTTAATTAATACAGAGAAGAATGAAAAAGAATGGATGAATGAAAAAAAGAAAAAATTTATAAGGTTAATTAATACAGAGAAGAATGAAAGAAGAAAAGGATGAATGAAAAAAAAGAAAGAAAATTTATAAGGTTAATTAATACAGAGAAGAATGAAAGAAGAAAGGATGAATGAAAGAAAGAAAAAATTTATAAGGTTAATTAATACAGAGAAGAATGAAAGAAGAAAGGATGAATGAAAAAAAAGAAAAAATTTATAAGGTTAATTAATACAGAGAAGAATGAAAGAAGAAAGGATGAATGAATGAAAGAAAGAAAAAATTTATAAGGTTAATTAATACAGAGAAGAATGAAAGAAGAAAGGATGAATGAAAGAAAGAAAGAAAATTTAAGGTTAATTAAAAGAGAAGAAATGAAAAAGAAAGGATGAATGAAAGAAAGAAAGAAAAATTTAAGGTTAATTAATACAGAAAAGAAAATGAAAGAAAGAAAGGATGAATGAAAAAAAGAAAAAAGAAAATTTATAAGGTTAATTAATACAGAGAAGAATGAAAAAAGAAATGGAATGAATGGATGAAAATTGATGAAATAAGGAAATGAAAGAAGAAAGAATGAAAAAAAAAAGAAAAATTTATAAGGTTAATTAATACAGAGAACAATGAAAGAAGAAAGGATGAATGAAAGAAAGAAAATTTATAAGGTTAATTAATACAGAGAAGAATGAAAGAAGAAAGGATGAAAGAAAGAAAGAAAATTTATAAGGTTAATTAATACAGAGAAGAATGAAAGAAGAAAGGATGAATGAAAAAAAGAAAGAAAATTTATAAGGTTAATTAATACAGAGAAGAATGAAAAAAGAAAGGATGAATGAAATAAAGAAAGAAAATTTATAAGGTTAATTAATACAGAGAAGAATGAAAGAAGAAAGGATGAATGAAAAAAAGAAAGAAAATTTATAAGGTTAATTAATACAGAGAAGAATGAAAAAGAAAAGATGAATGAAAGAAAGAAAGAAAATTTATAAGGTTAATTAATACAGAGAAGAATGAAAGAAGAAAGGATGAATGAAAGAAAGAAAGAAAATTTATAAGGTTAAATACAGAGAAGAATGAAAAAGAAAGGATGAATGAAAGAAAGAAAGAAAATTTATAAGAAGAGAAGAATGAAAGAAGAAAGGATGAATGAAAAAAGAAAGAAAATTTATAAGGTTAATTAATACAGAGAAGAATGAAAGAAGAAAGGATGAATGAAAGAAAGAAAGAAAAAATTTATAAGGTTAATTAATACAGAGAGGAAATGAAAAAAGAAGAAAGGATGAATGAAAAGAAAGAAAATTTATAAGGTTACAGAGAAGAATGAAAAGAAAAGGATGAATGAAAAAAGAAAGAAAAATTTATAAGGTTAATTAATACAGAGAAGAATGAAAAAGAAAGGATGAATGAAAGAAAGAAAGAAATTTATAAATGTTAAAAAAAGAAAAGAAAATTTGAATAAAATTTTAAGGTTAATTAATACAGAGAAGAATGAAAGAAGAAAATGAAAGAAAAAAAAAAATTAATGAAAATGAAAAGAAGAAAGGAAATGAAAAAAAGAAAGAAAATTTATAAGGTTAATTAATACAGAGAAGAATGAAAGAAGAAAGGATGAATGAAAAAAAGAAAAGAAAAATTTATAAGGTTAATTAATACAGAGAAGAGAAAGAAGAAAATGAAAGAAAGAAAGGTTAATTAATACAGAGAAGAATGAAAGAAGAAAAGGAATGAAAAAAGAAAGAAAATTTAAAATTAATACAGAGAAGAAATAAAAAGAAAGGATGAATGAAAGAAAGAAAGAAAAATTAATACAAAAAGAAGAATGAAAAGAAAAAGAAAGAAGATGAATGAAAGAAAGAAAGAAAATTTATAAGGTTAATTAATACAGAGAAGAATGAAAGAAGAAAGGATGAATGAAAAAAGAAAGAAAATTTATAAGGTTAATTAATACAGAGAAGAATGAAAGAAGAAAGGAATGAAAAAAGAAAGAAAAAATGAAAGAAAATGAAAAAAGAAAAAATTTATAAGGTTAATTAATACAGAGAAGAATGAAAGAAGAAAGGATGAATGAAAAAAAAAAAGAAAAGATGTTAATTAATAAGAGAAAATGAAAGAAGAAAAGGATGAATAAAAAAGAAAGAAAATTTATAAGGTTAATTAATACAGAGAAGAATGAAAGAAGAAAGGATGAATGAAAAAAGAAAGAAAATTTATAAGGTTAATTAATACAGAGAAGAATGAAAGAAGAAAGGATGAATGAAAAGAAAGAAAGAAAATTTATAAGGTTAATTAATTAATGAAAGAAGAAAGATGAATGAAAAAAGAAAGAAAATTTATAAGGTTAATGACAGAAATAAAAAGAAAAGATGAATTAAGGTTAATTAATACAGAGAAGAATGAAAGAAGAAAGGATGAATGAAAAAAGAAAGAAAATTTATGTTAATTAATACAGAGAAGAATGAAAAAGAAAGGATGAATGAAATTTATAAGGTTAATTAATAAAGAGAAGAATGAAAAAGAAAGAAAAAAGGATGAATGAAAGAAAAAGAAAGAAAAAAATTTATAAGGTTAATTAATACAGAGAAGAATGAAAGAAGAAAGGATGAATGAAAAAAGAAAGAAGAATGAAAATTGAATGAAAGAAAGAAAGAAAAATTATAAGGTTAATACAGAGAAGAATGAAAGAAGAAAGGATGAATGAAAAGAAGAAAATTTATAAGGTTAATTAATACAGAGAAGAATGAAAGAAGAAAGGATGAATGAAAGAAAGAAAATTTATAAGGTTAATTAATACAGAGAAGAATGAAAGAAGAAAGGATGAATGAAAGAAAGAAAAAAATTTATAAAGTTAATTAATAAGAGAAGAATGAAAGAAGAAAGGATGATAAAAGAAAGGTTAATTAATACAGAGAAGAATGAAAGAAGAAAAGGATGAATGAAAGAAAGAAAGAAAATTTATAAGGTTAATTAATACAGAGAAGAATGAAAGAAGAAAAAGATGAATGAAAGAAAAAAAAGGATATAAGGTTAATTAATAAGAGAAGAATGAAAAAGAAAAGATGAATGAAAGAAAGAAAGAAAATTTATAAGGTTAATTAATACAGAGAAGAATAGAAAGGATGAATGAAAAAAGAAAGAAAAAAAATGTTAATTAATAAGAAGAAGAAAGAAGAATGAATGAAAGAAAGAAAAATTTATAAAGGTTAATTAATACAGAGAAGAATGAAAGAAGAAAGGATGATGAATGAAAGAAAGAAAATTTATAAGGTTAATTAATACAGAGAAGAATGAAAGAAGAAAGGATGAATGAAAAAAAGGTTAATTAATGAATGAAAGGAAAAAGAAAGAAAAAAATTATAAGGTTAATACAGAGAAGAATGAAAGAAGAAAGGATGAATGAAAGAAAGAAAGGATAGAAGAATGAAATGAAAGAAAGAAAGAAAATTTATAAGGTTAATTAATACAGAGAAGAATGAAAGAAGAAAGGATGAATGAAAAAAAAGAAAAAAAATTTTAAAGGTTAATTAATACAGAGAAGAATGAAAAGAAGAAAGGATGAATGAAAGAAAGAAAGAAAATTTATAAGGTTAATTAATACAGAGAAGAATGAAAGAAAAATGAAAAAGGATGAATGAAAAAGAAAGAAAGAAAATTTATAAGGTTAATTAATACAGAGAAGAATGAAAAAAGAAAAGGATGAATGAAAAAAGAAAGAAAATTTATAAAATTTACAGAGAAGAATGAAAGAAGAATGGATGTTGAAAGAAAGAAAATTTATAAAATTAATACAGAGAAGAATGAAAGAAGAAAGGATGAATGAAAGAAAGAAAGAAAATTTATAAGGTTAATTAATACAGAGAAGAATGAAAAAGAATGGATGAATGAAATAAAGAAAGAAAAATTATAAGGTTAATTAATACAGAGAAGAATGAAAGAAGAAAGGATGAATGAAAGAAAGAAAGAAAATTTATAAGGTTAATTAATACAGAGAAGAATGAAAGAAGAAAGGATGAATGAAAGAAAGAAAATTTATAAGGTTAATTAATACAGAGAAGAATGAAAGAAGAAAGGATGAATGAAAGAAAGAAAAAAATTTATAAGGTTAATTAATACAGAGAAGAATGAAAGAAGAAAGGATGAATGAAAGAAAGAAAGAAAATTTATAAGGTTAATTAATACAGAGAAGAATGAAAGAAAGAAAGAAAATTTATAAGGTTAATTAATACAGAGAAGAATGAAAGAAGAAAGGATGAATGAAAGAAAGAAAGAAAATTTATAAGGTTAATTAATACAGAGAAGAATGAAAGAAGAAAGGATGAATGAAAGAAAGAAAAAAAAATTTATAAGATTAATTAATACAGAGAAGAATGAAAAGAAGAAAGGATGAATGAAAAAGAAAAGAAAATTTAAAATTTATGAAAGAAGAAAGGTTAAGTTTAATACAGAGAAGAATGAAAGAAGAAAGGAGAATGAAAGAAAGAAAGAAGAAAGGAATGAATGAAAGAAAGAAAGAAAAATTTATAAGGTTAATTAATACAGAGAAGAATGAAAGAAGAAAGGATGAATGAAAAAAAAGAAAAAAAATTATAAGGTTAATTAATACAGAGAAGAATGAAAAAAGAAAAAGGATGAATGAAAGAAAGAAAGAAAAATTTATAAGGTTAATTAATACAGAAAGAAAAAATAAGGTTAATTAAAAGAAGAATGAAAGGATGAATGAAGAATGAAAAGAAAAAGAAAAAAAAAATTAAAGGTTAATTAAAAAATGAAAGGATTTATAAGGTTAATTAATACAGAGAAGAATGAAAGAAGAAAGGAAATGGAAGAAAGGATGAATGAAAGAAAGAAAGAAAAATTATAAGGTTAATTTACAGAGAAGAATGAAAGAAGAAAGGATGAATGAAAGAAAGAAAAATTATAAGGTTAATTAATACAGAGAAGAATGAAAGAAGAAAGGATGAATGAAAGAAAGAAAAAAAAAATTATGGTTAATTAATACAGAGAAGAATGAAAGAAGAAAGGATGAATGGAAGAAAGAAAGAAATTGTTGTGATTTAGAGGTCACCACTAATCAGCCGCTAAACTCGTATGCATACTAATTTCTAGTGTCACTAAATCTCCCCGAAACGTAAGGGTTTTATTCCTCTCGTAGATCTTGTACTCCTTCTCACGTTATTTTCATCACATTGCTCTACTTCTCTCTCTCCCGTATTTCTTTCCCTGGGAGATCCAAGATCTATCCCGCGTTAGGTTGTAGTCATATGTGTTTTCTTGCATTATCTTGTTTTCGTCCGAACTTTCAGACTCATTCTGGCCCTCTTGATCCTGCATTATTTCGTCTTCTGATGTTTCCTTCTGTAATGGTTGTTCTACCAACTCGTTATCAGACGGAATTGAAGACATTTCTACGTCGTTTTTTTCTTCCTCTTCACCCTGGGTCCTTATTTGGTCTGCATGGGCTAATACAGTATTGCCGTTTTCTCTATTTATTATAGCTGCATTGTGGCCTTTTTGCATGATAAATTCTGCCCTTTCCGGATCTGCATCTTTGTTCTTTTTGTACCACATTTTTTTTCATTTGTAGAATACGACATCGTTAGCGGTGCTCTAATTTGTCTTCCCATTAAAGCTGATGGGCTTTCTAGTCTTCCCGCATGTGGTATCGTACGATAACTTAAGAGCAGCCTCGCTAGAAAAACTTCTTTTTCTTTTTGCTGAGAGCATGCTTTTAGTTCCTTTTTTACGGTCTGCACCTTTCTTTCTGCCAATCCGTTCGATTGAGGGTGATATGTAGGTGTCTTATATGGTTTACGCCCTATCATTTCTAACCATACATTAAGTACTTCATCACAAAATTCTGGTGCATTATCAGATACCAAGGTTTTTGGTGCTTCATTTCTGGAAAATATGACTCATAAAATCTGCTTTATCGTAGAACTTTTCTTGCTTGCAACCCGGATTATTTCAGTCCAAGCTGAAAAAGAGTCTACTAGTATTAATAAGAGTCCTACTCCATTAATGTATGCATGATCCATATGCACACGACTCCATGGCTCTACTTCTTTGGGCCACGAATGTAATTTGGTGTGTGTAAAGTTTCTTAATTCTTTACATTTTTTTCACCTTTTTACATATTCCTCGGCATCTCTTGAGAAATAGATAATACAGTCATTTAATATAGAGAGAATAAAGAAAGAAGAAAAGAAAGAATGAATGAAAGAAGGAAGCAAGGGCTATAGAGGTCATTTAAAACAGAGAAAAAAATAAAGTCGAAGAGAAAGATTGAATAAAAGCAACAAAGAGCATAAGACCATTAAATATAGAGAGAAGAAAGAAGAAAGAAAAAATAAATGAAAAAATGAAACACAGACCATAAGATGATTTAAAATAGATGGGAGAGAGAAAAAAAAGAAAGGATGAAGGAAATGAAAGATTAAATAAAAGGAACGAAGCCCATGATGTGATAAAACTGATTGAAAGAGTGACATTTTTAATGATCCGTCTACTAATCATGATTTCGCGAACAAGATCTTGCGTGTTTTCCAACCGGTTTCTCACCCTTACTTGCTTTATGAAGTCTGTTCAGATGCGATCTTGCATTTATACTAACGACTTCGTGCTTGCAGAATCAAATATCATCAACCAATGACTATGGACCTAGATATAAACAGCACTAATACCTGCCCATGGATTCAAATATAAACTCCAACAATATTAGCCTGTAGACTCTAGTATAAGCACGACTAATATATACCTATGGAATCAAGTACACACCTAGCCAATGTTAGCTTATCGACGCAATTATAAGTACAAGTAATATAATCCTATGGAATCGAAAACACACGTCGCCAATTTCAGCCTATCGACTCAAGTTTAACGACGAGCAATTCCATGGAGTCAAGTACACATCTCGCCAATGTTAGCCTATACAACTCAAGTATAAAAACAAGGAATGAATACATACGGAATCAAGTATACACCTAGCCAATGTTAGCTTATCAATGCAAGTATAAACTCAAGCAATTTAATCCCATGGAGTCAAGTACACACCTAGCAATTGTTAGCTTATAAATTCCTGTATAAAACGATAGCCAATGTTAGCCTATCGACTCACGTATAAGGACGAGCAATGTATACATATGGAATCAAGTACGCACTTCGCAAATATTAGTCTCTCGATTCAACTATAAAGACGATCAATATGTACCTATCAAATACACACCTAGCCAATGTTAGCCTATAAAAACGAGCAATATAATCCTATGGAATCAAGTATACACATAGCCAATATTATTCTATCGACTCAAGTATAAGGATGAGCAATATAATCCTATGGAATCAAGTACACAGCCAATATTGGCCTATAGACTCAAGTATAAACGTAATATATACGTATTGAATCAAGTGCACACCTCGCCGATGTTATCATATAGAATCATGTATAAATACGAGAAATATATGGAATCCTGTAAGCAGCTAGTCAATCAAAGTGTTATATAAAGATGAGCTATATATACCCATGCAATCAAGTACTTGAAATCAAGTAAGCACCTAGCGAACGTTTGCATATACACTTCTTTCTCACCTCAATGTACTTAATTATTGCGTAATTCGTCTAATACGTTATCTGATACATTTTGTCAAAAAAAATCTATTGTGTAATGTGGAATTATTAACATGATAAGAAATGACACTGTATCGAGTGGTTTCTTTTATCTAATTTGACTTACCAGATTTTGTCTGCTGTCGACAATATAATGTCGTAATTTGACAATGTATCAATTCTGCTGGCGTACCTACCTGACATACTGATGACTAGATATTGAATTCCTTTTACCCTGTCACGGTTAAATTATCTAGGCTTACTTTTAGGCATATAACTTCCAGAAGTCTAAAATATCTCATTCTGATTGTAAGTATATGATTCCGATTTAAATTAAACCATCACCAAGGCTTATAGTTGATGTCTGTGCTATTCTAAAAATACGTTGGTTGAACTGCACTTGTGTCATTTGAAGTCTGCTCGTTATCTGTGAGGAAATAATCCAGCATTCCCTGTCATATAGAACATTCAGCTCTGTGTCATGCGTGATACATGCGTAAGCAATCATGTATCTTTCGATACATGACTGACAAGGCAGATTTTTTCTCGCAGTAGGTTCCCATTTTTTCTACGGTAGACCATCCAAGGCTATAGAATCAATATTGTTCTGCTATTTACACATATCTGGAGGGAGAAGAAGAGGATTCACACTTTTTTCAAGGGTATTAGCACGTAAGTGAATGTAATGGATTCGAGTGGAATTCGAACTCGGCTCTCCGATTCCTTAATCCAAGCCGCTATTCATTACTCCACCATAGAAAATTAGAAGTTAGAAAACAGCTTAGCACTGTTTTCTTTGTTTCTAACGGCTTTTTCCTGTATTAATACATTGTTTAGTTTTTTGGAAACATTTTCCGATATTCCTATGAGTTCTCGTATATCTTTGTTACATTTTCCATCACTTGTTAAACAATAAGTGAATTTAAACTGATTTAATAGTTAATTCTCTCTACCTGTTTGATTTCGAAATCTCCAAGATGAAGCTCACACCTTGGGCTGCATCTTTTGCGTATGATCTTTTTCTAACAGTAGCTTAGATGTGGCAAAAGCCGAAAATATAGGGCACCTTGTGAGGATCGAAATCATTAAACGGTCGTAATTGTTTTAGCGAGACAAACTAACTAACCTTTACACGACGTCGAGATGCTCCATCTCATGATTATGATTGGACATTATGCATTATTTTTACAGGTTTCCTCGTAAAGGAAACCAGAAGAAAGGACTATTCCTTTCTTCTGGTTTCCTTTACTATATTGTCTAAGGATTATTTTTACTTCCATTCTTGATTCTACCACGAACACATGTTTTACTTTCTGAATATTATGAACTCCTTCTATCTATCTATCTATCTATCTATCTATCTATCTATCTATCTATCTATCTATCTATTCCACCCTGTTCTATATCTATCTATCTATCTATCTATCTATCTATCTATCTATCTATCTATCTATCCCACCCTGTTCTCTATCTATCTATCTATCTATCTATCTATCTATCTATCTATCTATCTATCTATCTACTATATGTTCTATATGTTCTATATCTATCTATCTATCTATCTATCTATCTATTCATCTATCTATCTATCTATCTATCTATCATTCATCTATTTCACGCTGTTATTCATCTCTATCTATCTATCTATCTATCTATCTATCTATCTATCTATCTATCTATCTATCTATCTCACGCTGTTCTATATCTATCTATTTATCTATGTTTAATAAATTCGATAAGAAAACATATCTTGTCTTATACTTCTTTCTATTTCTGAGTTTTCCCTATAAAAAGCGGATGCAGGCTGTTTGTTCCACAAAGTGGTTACAGATTATTCGAATATTTCTCCATATAAAACAATCTTCCCGAGCAGATGTGGTAGCTCTATGGGTGGTTGACAGAATTTTCCCAAGAACTGCTTCTTTCTGGAACAAATTCCTCAGTGGATATTTTCCTGAATACTGAAAGTTTGCCAGTTGAATACAAGTGCCAATAGTTGTCTATCTTCCTGATCAACATGATATTCATTTCCCACCAGTTCCTCTTTTATTCATCTAATACACATTTAACCATAACCATTTTAGCAGTAATTCTCTACCTTGAGTGGCTCTTGAGCTTTCTATTCAGTGATCATTAACGCTTTGAGCTCTGACCACCGCTTTACCGGTGGCAGAGAAAAATGACTTAATGCCCAGACACCGGTTGAACGGTGGGTCAACACGTATAATTATTTGTATATCTACCGTGAAACATTACATACCAATTATTTGCAAATTTTGACCTCAGGAGCTCAGGCAGAAGGATTAGAATTGTTCAGCAACGAATGGTTCAAAGGGTTAATATAGAACCTGATTTCGTGTGTTCTTGGAAACGCAGATATAGGTCTTTCTGAGTTTAGCTTGCTCGGTCAGATAACGTTGTGATCAGAAACTGGGACTGAATTATTAAAAACAACGAACGCGAAAAGTGTCTGGCAACTCGGGATAACCTTGCCAGACGTTAGAAAAACAAATTCTGGGTATTCTTTTTGCAGTATAACCCCTCCTCATTTATGTCTGATTCAATTTGTGTATGTAATCAATCTACCATTGAAAATTCGTGTTTTTATTTCTTTCCGACAGAAAATTGATAAACAAATATTAAACTCTAAAACATCATATTGTGTTTACTTTGCCTTTGTAAACTTTTATTTACTTACTAAACGTTCGAAGTAAATCAGTGCATTTTCATGATAGAAAGGAGAAAATGTACGTTTTTCTCTTCTAACGATTCCACTTCTTATTTTGATATTCGTAATTTGTATAGTGCATTTTACTCTTGTCCCTCTTGTCATTGATATCAACTAACCTTTCTCCTCGATCTTTCTCTTCCTTTTTACTTTCATTTAAATATTTATATTTGATTTCCTTATCTCGCCATAACAGTACTCGTTTTGCGATTGCTCTTCAATGTTGTACGCTTTTTTTTATCTTTACTTATTCACTTTTTTTTTCCTTGTCGCCATCTTTATTTTCTTTCAGTTTCTGCTTACTGTCAAGGTTACCTCTCTTCTGAACCTCGTTCCTATTTATCGTCTGCTTCTTCAGAGTCTATATATTCTCACTTTATTTCTCATCTGGTTCTTCAGTTTGCCATCATTCTCGAATATTTTTTTTGTCGTCTGCTTTCTCGGGTTGTCTTCATTCTGTAAATCGTTTTTATTTGCCACCTGCTTTTTTTTTTTTTTTACTGTATTCTCAATTCGGTTTTGTTTGTTTCTTTCTGAAATCGGGTTATTACACGCCGGCTTCTTCAATTTGTCTTCATTCTCAAATTGTTTTGAATCCGTCGTCTCCTTCTTCAGATATCTCGATTCTCCCATTATTTCGTACTTATTTAATCGTCTGCTTCTCTAGTTTGTATTTATCGCCATGTTAATTCGTTCTTGTTTGTCGTCTGTTTCATCACTGTCTTTGTTTTCATATTACGTCGTTCTTAGTTGTCATCTGTTACTTCCGCTTTATTTTCCCGCGCATTTCATTTGTCTTTTCCCTTTAATTTTATTCCCTTCAATTCTTGTTCTATCCTTTCTCTCTTTTATATTTTTCTCTCTTTCCATGTTGGTGTCATCATTTTATTTAAGTACATTGTAATTATAACATTTATAAGAGGCGTATTAGTTTGGTGGATTCGTCTTTTATTTCGTTTCGTTTTTTTTTCAGTAAATTTTTCATATTTTAGTTTTCCTTAATTTTCTTTATCACATTTTTAACATTAACATTTCTAAATTTTCTTTCTTTAACTAAATTTGACTCTTGTGTACCTTCACTATTTATACTCTGACGTTATCGTTACAGCTTGCTCTAATTAGCCATACTGCGAAGATTCGTTGTTATTTTCAATGACATCCACATTGCGTCTATTTTTCTTC